AAGTTGGTACTCCGTACTTGTATTCTGCTTCTCTTATTGTTGTTGCCAAGCTTGTATTACGTAACTTATATGCAATTCCACGACTAAACGATGGGCAAAAATATGTATATAACTGGAAAACCATGTCGCACAAAAGAGTATACAACTAAGGGATAAGGCTCAAACTCCAATTCATATCACAAACTTAGTACTCGGAGCAACATCTTGACTACTAGTGCATCATGTTCTGTCCCAACAAAGTTCATATCAGAAAACCAACTACATTGAAAAATTATATAGATAGGGACTACATTCGACAGAGGTTTCCGGAATTCGCCAACCTTCATGGGAGATTAAGAGCTTGAGCATGATGGCGGATGTGATCATCGATGAAGGTGGCAATGAAAAAGTAAGAGTGATCATATCCGGGCTGCAACCGCAGCAGCAGCGGAACATTAGCAGCCCTGCATGCATCTTCAAATCTGTGCGGCAGAAGTTGATCATGCAAGAATTTGTCATCCTCACCCTGCGTAAAAGAAGTTGTATTTAGAAAATACCAAGTCTAATTTTCATGTTTCTATACTCAGAAAAGGAAGATTTCGGGGTTACTATACGAGATCCAATGAAGGTGAATGTTCCACTTGATTATGTTATATGCATGCGAGATCCCTTGGTTAAAATGTAAACGTTCAAACTTTAAAGAACTTAAAACCCCAGAAGAGGGCAAATTAAAAACAAGATAAGAGGTAAAATCTTGTTTGGTAAAAAATTAAATATAGGAAAGCAGACAATACCTGATCAATTAGAATTGTAGCTGCCACATCATGGAACTTTGCTATAAGGCTAGTAGCGTCATATTCCTGCAATTTTACAATATTATTCATTATAAATTACGCACCTGGAATGATAAAGAATTGTTGCATTTATTAGATTTCTGAGAAACTAACCTCCCAATCAGCTTTATTGCTGCCGAGATAATTTGTGAAAGCTTTCGAGCCCCAGGGACAATTTACGGGGTTCACGATTGGTGCAAAGGCAGACACTGACTGTAATAGATAATATTAGAAGATACAGCAAGATAGTAAGAACTAAAATAGTTGTGAGTTCTTCTATGGCTATATAAAGTTTCCGGCCTCGATGCATCACGACCGAACTAGACTCAAAGACTTCAAAATTTTCTGAACTTGATTGTGAAAGTCAAGCAACTCCACATAACACAAGAACTTCCGCTTCATAATATAAACAAAAGGACTCATGGTAATTATATTTATCGTAATCTTAAACTTTCAAGTGCAAAGGGGTAAGATATTCCCAGCAATTAATTACCTTATACTTGTCAAGGTTTTTTAGGTAGATTGTTAGAGCGCCATGACCACCCATAGAATGACCAAATATCGATGCTCGTGATGTATCAAGCTGTGGGAAATTCTCCTGTAGAAGGTTTGGCAGCTCCTTGACAACATAATCATACATACGCCAGTTCTTCCACTTCTCTTGTGTGGCATTGAGATAAAATCCAGCACCTGTTTGTGGAAAAAAAAAAAAAAA